CACTTTGGGAGGCCGAGGCGGGTGGATCACAAGGTCAAGAGATCGAGACCATCCTGGTCAACAAGGTGAAACCCCGTGTCTACTAAATACACAAAAACATTAGCTGGGCATGGTGGCATGCGCCTGTAGTCCTAGCTACTCGGGAGGCTGAGGCAGGAGAAATTTTTTTTTTTTGAGACAGAGTCAGAGTCTCACACCGTCGCCCAGCCTGAAGTGCAATGGCATGATCTCAGCTCACTGCAGCCTCCACCTCCCAGGTTCACGAGATTCTCCTGCCTCAGCCTCCTGAATAGCTGGGATTACAGGCACACATCACCACGCCTGGCTAATTTTTGGTATTTTTAGTAGAGATGGGTTTCACTATGTTGCCCAGACTGGTCTTGAACTCCTAACCTCATGATCCACCTGCCTTGGCCTCCCAAAGTGCTGGGATTACAGGCGTGGGCCACCAAGCCTGGCCAAAAAAAATTTTTTTAATTGGGTTGAATGCCCTATTTGGTTTGAATTTTACATTCCCACAATGTGTGGCAGCTAATGCTTCTGGCATGTCTATCGAGAACATAAAAGTTCTCCTGGAACTAACAAATTACTTCCCTTCCAACACAATTATATAATCTGAGAGTTGAAAAACACCCTAGAGATTACTCTGTGGCCCAAAGTCCCTCCCAATTAAGGAATCTCACCTAAAACTATGCAACTCTGTGGGCAGAGAGGGATGATAATCTTTAGATTCCCCATGACACAGTGCTGCAGCCATAGCAGCTCTTTAATACATGCTTTTGTTATTTTTAATACATGCTTATTGAACTGAACTGAACAAGTCTAAAAGGGACATATTAATTGTCTTGTTCTACCCAGGCTTTAGCTGTTACACCCACTGAATCTGTAATTTAAAGCTTTGCATGATTCCACTGCTCATTAACCAGTGTTCAAAGACATTTAATAAAGGAAACTCAGTGTTTCAATCCATTAAAGAAACTTCATTTTAACAGTTTAAAATCTTAAGCTCCTGGCCTGGCAAAGTGGCTCTTGCCTATAATCCCAGCACTTTGGGAGGCTGAAGTGGGAGGATCTCTTGAGCCCAGGAGTCTGACACTAGCCTGGGCAACATAGGGAGACCCTGTGATACAGTATGGCTCTGTGTCCCTACCCAAATCTCATCTTGATTTGTAATCCCCACCTGTTGAGGGAGGAACCTGTAATCCCTCCCATGTCTTGAGTGAGGGAGGTAATTGGATCATGGGGGCAGTTTCCCCCATGCTGTTCTCATGATAATGAGTTCTCACAAAATCCGATGTTTGTTTTTTTTTGTTTTTTTTTTTGAGATGGAGTCTCACTCTGTCACCCAGGCTGGAGTGCAATGGCATGATCTCGGCTCACTGCAACCTCCACCTCCCAGGTTCAAGGGATTCTCCCGCCTCAGCCTCCTGAGTAGCTGGGATTACAGGCGTATGCCATCACACCCAGCTAATTTTTGTATTTTTAGTAGAGACAGGGTTTCAACATCTTGGCCAGGCTGGTCTCAAGCTCCTGACCTTGTGATCCACTTGCCTCGGCCTCCCAAAGTGCTGGGATTATAGGCATGCCCCACTGCACCCCGCCAATCTGATGGTTTTGTAAGTGGAAGTTCCTCCTTTGCTCCTCTCTCTCCTGCTGCCTTCTGAAGAAGGTTCTTACTTCCCTTTTGCCTTCTGTCATGATTGTAAGTTTCCTGAGGCTTCCCCAGCCATGTAGAACTGAGTCAATTAAACCCCTTTCTTTATAAATTACTAAGTCTCGGGTATTTCTTTATAGCAGTGTGAAAATGGGACTAATACACCCTGTCCCTATATAAAATTTAAAAATCAACCAGGTGTGGTGGCTCATGCATGTAGTCCCAGCTACTTGGGAGGCTGAGATGGGAGGATTGTTTGAGCACAGGAGGCTGAGGCTGCCATGAGCTGTGATCACACCACTGCACTCTAACCTGGGTGACAGAATGAGACCCTGTCTCAAAAAATAAATAAATAAAGGCCAGGCACAGTGGTTCATGCCTATACTCCCTCAGGTGGATCACCTGAGGTCAAGAGTTCAAGACCAGCCTGGTCAACATGGCAAAACCCCATCTCTACTAAAAAATACAAAAATTAGCCGGGCATTGTGGCGGATACCTGCAATTCCAGCTACTCAGGAGGCTGAGGCAGGAAAATTGCTTGAACCCAGGAGGTGGAAGTTGCAATGAGCCAGGATGGCACCACTGCACTCCAGTCTGAGCAAAAGAGCGAGCCTCCGTCTCAAAAATAAATGAATAATAAATAAATTTTTTAAATTTAAGCTCCTAGAATCGCTTGAACCCGGGTGGTGGGGGTTGCGGTGAGCCGAGATTAGGCCACTACACTCCAGTGTGGGTGACATAGCAAGACTGTCTCAAAAAAAAAAAAAAAAAAAAGTAAGCTCCTAGAAGGGAAGTCCTATGCCTGATCTGACTTGTAAGAGGCCGTGGGGCAACCTAAACAGACAAGTAAGCTTTCAACATTAATGTTGCTAATGTCAGTGCATAATAAAACATATAGCAGAAAACAGAAAATTAAGCCTTTGTTAGTTTGCTTATGATCTATAAAGAGCTTTCAATTTTCCAAAAATATGTTTCCTATTTCTAGTATGATTTATTATTATTATTTTAATTTAGACATGGGGGTCTCTATGTTGACCAGGTTGCTCTTGAACTCTTGGCCTCACACCACCTTGGTCTCCCAAAGTGCGAGGGTAACAGGTGTGAGCCACTGCGCCCAGCCTAGTGTGATTTTTTTAAAAACAAATAGTTGGGCCAGGCATGGTGGCTCACGCCTGTAATCCCAGCACTTTGGGAGGCCAAGGTGGGTGGATCACGAGGTCAAGAGATCGAGACCATCCTGGTCAAAATGGTGAAACCCCATCTCTACTAAAAATACAAAAAATTAGCTGGGCATGGTGGCGCGTGCCTGTAATCCCAGCTACTCAGGAGGCTGAGGCAGGAGAATTGCCTGAACCCAGGAGGCGGAGGTTGCGGTGAGCCGAGATCGCGCCATTGCACTCCAGCCTGGGTAACAAAAGCGAAACTCCGTCTCAAAAAAAACCCAAAAAAACAAATAGTCTTGCATCATTCATACAACTAAATTATACACCGTTCTACTTATAATTGGGGTGCTCACAGATTTAGGCATACTAGCAGTAAAACATGCTATTATAGTTTTCCCTTAAGAGCCTGTGATCCCATCTGATTTCCCCTAACATGACATGATAATGAAGCGAATAAAGCCTCTGGAGCAGTAAGTACCACCAATGACTTGACTTTACTCAAATATGTATTCCAAAACAGTTCATAATTTACAACATGGCCCCGCTTAGCTATTGCAATGCATCTGTTTCAGCTGTTTTGGGGACCGTTTTTTTTTTTTTGAGACAAATTCTTGCTCTGTCTCCCAGGCTGGAATGCAGTGGCAGGATCTTGGCTCACTGCAGCCTCCACCTCCCAGGTTTCAGTGAATTCTCCTGCCTCAGCCTCCCCAGTAGCTGAGATTACAGGCATGAGCCACCAGGCCCTGCCAATTGTTTTGTATTTTCAGTAGAGACAGAGTTTCACCAAGTTGGCCAGGCTGATTTCGAAATCCTGACCTCAGATGATCTGACTGCCTCAGCCTCCCAAAGTGTTGGGATTACAGGCGTGAACCACCTTGCCCAGCCAGGCACTTTTACAATGTATATAGTAGGATACAAAGCATACATTTCCAAATCTCCTTTTGTTCTGTTTTGCTGAAAGGGAGCACACATGGGATTCCTTAACAGCACAATTTACTAATCTTCTTCAGGCAATAATTCGAACACCCACTTCCTCCTAAATACCTCTGGACAGCATGGCAATTCTCTCTTTCGCCACAGCTTCTTTTCATAACTAATGGGTCAAGTTCCTTTTCCCATTTCGACACGATGCACTGTACTGCGGCCCTGCCACCATAACCCACAGCTGAATGTCGGAATATAACATACTGGATTCCACTGTCCTTCATTGTTTCCAGTTTAACTGCCATTTTACCACCATGCACACAGAGAAATGCATTCCCACAGGCATCTTATGAATTTCCAAAGCAGCTATTCTTTGTGGATTTACAAAACATGTGCTTCTCTGAATTCCCTTCATCACCACAGAAACGGCTTTGGGAAGCAGAGATTTTTTTTTTTAAGTATCCTACATATTATAAAAGGAAACTGATTCTAAAACATTTCTATTTTTCTAGCGAATGTAATCCTAAAGGTTTTCCCACAAGGCAGTGAAGGAACACCAGGGCAAAAATTTTAAATACCGCTTTTGGTCTTCCCAATTAATATGAAACATTTTCAGCACACAAAGATGATCAGATCAAATGTCTTTTCTTCTCAGTCTACACCATAAGGGCCACCCAGAGCACTGTAAAATAAACAGCTGGCTGTGGCTTATGCACAACGCCCTAAATCTTCCTGACACCCCCACCCCCACCCCCAACTCTCGGCTTTGGGCTCACAGACACATAATCCCTCAGCAAACCATAAACCTGCCAATGAAGTGCACTATTTCTCTGCCACAAAGGCCAGCCCGCGCCTCGTGCATGCCGGCGTCCGCACACATGTGCCTGGCTGACAAACGCGGAGCGGCCCTTCCTGTATCAAAGCCGTTGGCCTGGACCGAAAGCTGCACTCTTCCCAGCCCACTGCCTTCTCCCGCGGCCGCTCTCCCCGGTGACCGGCGGCCAAATCGAAGCGCTCCGGCCACAGGCCGGCCAACCCCTCCGCCCGGCGTGTCCGGTGCAGCCGCTTCCCCCCCCCTCCCCGCCCCACCGTCCTTTTTTCTTCCCCCTGTTTTTCGCCTCAGGAAATTCAGTCGGAAATTCATTCTCCCCGAACCAAGCAGCCGAGGCACACTCTCCTCCCGCGGCCGCGCCTCCGGCGCCTCCACCCGAAGCGGCCGGAGACCCGGCGACCCCAGCCCGTCCAGCCCGGCGCCTCACCTCCTCCTCGCTCTCGCTGCGGAAACACAGGCATGCGGCCCGCTTCTTGTAGCCGTCGCCATCGTAGGTGCGGGTCTGGTTCGACTTGAGCTTCATCATCCTCCGGGCCCGGGTGGGGGTGCGGTGCGGGTCGCAGGAGTCGAGGAGTAGGGAGCCCGCTCCGGACGGTCGCGCACGCGCGCGCCCCCGGCTCGGCCAAGCAAAGCAGGGAGGGGGAGCTTCTCCGCTACAAGGCTCCACCGCTGGCCCGCCGGGGCCGCCTCATTCCCCCCGGCCCAGATCCCGCGCCGCCGCTGCCACCGTCACGGCTACCGTCTCCGCTACCGCCAGGGCCGCCGCCCCCTCTGCCGCCGCCACCCCCGACGACGACCGCGCCGCCATCTTGGGCGCGCTGCGTCAGCGGCGTAAGGCCGCACCGGCCTGCGGGACGGCCGCGCGCTCGCAGCGCAGGCCGTGTTCGGGAATCGCGCCCACCCAGTCTGCGCGGCGGAAACCAGCGTTGAAAAGAAATGGCCTTAAAAAGAGAGGGCCGCAAGTCTCCACGCGGCCACTACGCCGACAGCGTAGGCGTAGTACTGGTGGGACGCGTGGAGGAAGCCCAGGGAAATAGGGGTAACGGCGCAAGACGCCTAGCGGCAGGGGCGGAGACCCTCCGGTGCAGCCTCGCCAGTTAGCGGATGGGGAAGTGGGGACTTGGCCAAGGTCACGCCGCGTCTTCGCGGCCGGGGATGAACCAAGGTCATGCCACCCTCCCCTTGGCCCTGGGTCGGTCTCGAAGGGGATGAGGGAGAATTGTCTGGAAGAGAAAGTAGGATGCAGTTAAAGGCAACGGAATTTGCAGCCTGAGACACCTGGGATTTGGAACTGCAAGGAAACAGGGCTTGGGAGGCGCGTACACTTTGCGTTGATAGCCTGAACCTCTGGATGTCTTACGAGTTGGTGCATGTCGTTCATTACAAATAACAAATATTTATCCTGCAATCCTTTATTGATGCTAAAACCAAATGCTTCCTCTTTTTTTGTTTTTGAGACGGCGTCTCACCCAGTCTGGAGTGCAGTGGCTCAATCTTGGCTCACTGCAACCTCCGCCTCCTGGGTTCAAGCGATTCTCTTGCCTCAGCCTCTTGAGTAGCTGGGATTACAGGCGCGTGCCACCACGTCCGGCTAATTTTTGTATTTTTAGTAGAGACAGGGTTTCACCATGTTGGTCAGGCTGGTCTAGAACTCCTGACCTCGTGATCTGCTCCCCTCAGCCTCCCAAAGTGCTGGACTTGCATGAGCCACCGTCCCCAGCCTGCTTCCTCCTAAGGTAAACAAGAGGGACAGAAACGAAGGCGCGTGTGTGTGTATACACACATAATGTTAATCATAAAACGTCGTTTTTGGCAATAAATGAGGAGTGTGTGTTATGGATGTCAAATGGCTTCTCCAGGAAAAGACAGAAGCTCTCCAGAAAGGAAGACTGTTATATGACCTGTGAATGTTCTTAGCAGCCCAGAACTAACCTTATGCCATGCAGATGCCCTAAACGTACGAGAAATCCTGTGCAGGATATGTCTGTGACTTGCTTATTAACCTTTTTGGTTTTTTAATTTTTTTTATTTAATTTTTTGTTGAGATGAGGGTGTGGGTCTCATTTTGTTGCCCAAGCTGGTCCCGAACTCCTGGCCTCAAGCTATCCACCCTAAGCCTCCCAAAGCGCTGGGATTCCTGGTGTGGCCGACTTACTATCCTTTATGAATTTGCTTGTATTTAGCAGTCAAAAAAGATCTGGATTTGAAACCAAACATATCTTGGTTGTAACCTCAGTAACATTTTTTAGTGTTCATACCACCCAATTACTTTTTTTTTTTTTTTTTTTTTATGAAAGCAAAAGGGGGAAAGAGGACAGGAGTCTTGCTCTATTGCCCAGGCTGGAATGCAATCTAAAAGTAGGTATTAAAAACCTCTTTTAGGGGCCGGGCGCGGTGGCTCACGCCTGTAATCCCAGCACTTTGGGAGGCTGAGGCGGGTGGATCACGAGGTCAAGAGATCCAAACCATCCTGGTCAACATGGTGAAACCCCGTCCCTACTAAAAACACAAAAAAATTAGCTGGGCATGGTGGCGCGTGCCTGTAATCCCAGCTACTCAGGAGGCTGAAGCAGGAGAATTGCCTGAACCTAGGAGGCGGAGGTTGCAGTGAGCCGAGATCCTGCCATTGCACTCCAGCCTGGGTAAAAAGAGCAAAACTCCGTCTCAAAAAAAAAACAAACTTCTTTTATGCCGATAATTGTGCTTAACAACGGAGACAGGAAGGAATAAGGAAAGAAAATAACAAACAGCCAACCAATATTTCATTTAAATCGTGAAATGATATGCAAATGCTGAAGAGTGATTGAGTGATTTGCTTCCATTTATATGGTCACTTTCAAAATAGGTGTAATGTGATACTAAAAAAAATGTATGTTCTGTGGACCTGGGGTAAAGAATTCTATAAATATTCAGAGTTTACTTGTTCCAGGTCTGAGTTCAAATCATAAACGTCCCTGTTAATTTTCTATCTCATTGATCCGTCGAATATTAACAATGTGGTGTCGAAGTCTCCCACTATTATTGTGTGGGAGTCCAAATCTCTTTATAAGTCATTGAAAAATTGTCTTATGTATCTGGGTGCTCCTATATTGGGTGCATATATATTTATGATCATTGACTCCTATTGTTGCATTGATCCTTTTATCATTATGTAATGTCCTTTGTTTCTCTTGGTCTTTGTTACTATTAAAGTCTATTTTGTCAGAGACAAAAGTTACAACTCCTGTTTTTGTTTTTGTTTTTCTCTCCATTTGATTGGTGAGTCTTCCTCCAACCTTTTGTTTTGAGTCTTTGTGTGTCCTTGCTTATGGGATGGATCTGAATACAGAATGCCGATGTGTTTTGACTTTTTATTCAGTTTGGGTATCTGTGTCTTTTATTGGGCCGTTTATTCCATTTAAATTTAGGATTAATATTGATATTTTTAAGTTTAATGTTGTCATTTAATGCTAGCTGGCTATTTTGCACCATTAGTTGATATAGATTCTTCATTATGGAGATACTCTTTACCTTTTGGTAACTTTTTGGGATGACTGATACTGGTTGTTCCTTTCTGTGTGTAGTGCTTCTTTCAGAAGCTCTTGTAAAGCAGGCCTGATGGTCATGAAATCTCTGAGTGCTTGCTTGTTTGCAAAAAATTTTATTTTTCCTTCATTTATGAAGCTTAGTTTGGCTGGATATGAGATTCTGGGTTGAAAATTCTTTTCTTTGAGGATATCAAATATTGACCCCCGACTCTCTTCTAGTTTGTAGGGTTTCTGCTGAGAGATCTGCTATAAGTCTGATAGGCTTCCCTTTATGGGTAATCTGACCTTTCTCTCTAGCTGCCCTTAGAATTTTCTCCTTTATTTCAACCCTGGTGAATCTAACAATTATGTGTCTTGGGGTTGCTCTACTTGAGGAATATCTTTGTGGTGGTCTCTGTATTACCTGGAGTTGAATATTGTCCTGCCTTACTAGGTTAGGAAAGTTTTCCTGAAGAATATTTTCCAGCTTGGATTCGTTCTCTTCATGACATTCAGGTACACCTATCAAATGTAAATTAGGTCTTTTCACATAGTCCCATATTTCTCGGAAACTTTGCTCATTCCTTTTTACTCTTTCTTCTCTAATCTTGTCTTCTCGTTTGATTTCATTAAGTTGGTCTTCGAACTCTGATATCCTTTCTTCTGCTTGATCAATTCGACTGTTAAAACCTGTGCATACTTTGTGGAGTTCTCGCATTGTATTCTTCAGTTTCATTAATTCACTTATTAATAATTCCTCTCTAAATTGTCTATTCTCATTAGGATTTCGTCAAACCTTTTTTCAAGGTTCTTAAGTTCTTTACATGGGGCTAGAACATGTTCTTTTAACTCATAGAATTTTCTTATTATCCACCTTCTGAAGACTATTTCTGTTATTGGAACGCACTCATCCTGCATCAGGCCTCGTTCCCTTGTTGAAGAGGAACTGTGATCCTCCGTAGAGGGAGAGACATTCTGATTTTGAGTATTCTTAGGCTTTTTACACTGGTTTTTTCCCGTCGTTGTAAATTTATCCACCTGTCGTCTTTGTAATTACCGACTTTCAAATTAGGTCTCTGAGTGGACATCCAACTTGTTGATTCCCAGCACCAAAATCTGAGCAACTCACTGTGCCGGCTAAAACAGTGGCGTCAAGAGTCTTGGTGCTTTTCTGTCCAGGAGTCTCCGGTCTGGCTTCCCTCCTGAATCCCTTCTTCAATCAGCTGAATAGGCGACTCTGCCTTCGCGGAGCTCCAAACATCGACCAAAAGGGGACCCAGTCCCGTTTACTCTGCACTGAGAACTGCCGTGCCGGCCACAAGAGTCGCACTGGTGACCTGTGGGGCTCCTCCGCTGGGAATCTCCTGCTCCGTGAGCAACAAAAATTTGTCTGAAAGTGTGGTGTCCTCTTGTTCTCTGCGCTTTCACTGGGAGCTACAAGCCTGAGCTGCTAGTGATCGGCTATCTTGGATCTCTCTCCCAATTACATCATTTTTTAACTTCTGTAAAATAGAAATGAAAAACCTACTTGGCCCTGGCACATAGTAGGCACTCAGTGCACACCAGATGCTACTAATACTTTGCCTGTTAACTTTTCTTCTCTTCAAGAAAAGAAAATTAGTGTTCAGTAAATATTGAATGGATAGATGGAGGTTTTCTTTTGGTTTCTAATTCCTTACCCAGGCTTTTTATGGGCATGTTTGTTTTGGTTTTTTTTGAAAGAGGGTCTTGCTGTGTTAATCAAGGCCAGCTCACTGCAGCTTAGACCTCCTGGGTTCAAGAGATACTCCCTCCTCTGCCTTCCAAGTAACTGGGACCACAGACGCCTATCATGCACATTGGAGCACTACCACATTTAGCCAACTTTTGTATTTTTTTTTGTAGATATGGGGTTTCACCAAGTTGCCCAGGCTGGTCTCGAACTCCTGGACTCAAGCAGTCCTTGTCCCTCAGCCTCCCAAAGTACTGGGATTACAGGCGTGAGCCACACTCCCAGCCTATGGGCATGTTTATTTCAAGAGTCCACAAGATCACTCCCAGATCCCTTGGCTGAATAATAATTTATCTTTGTTCAGGGAACATTAACCAAGGGATTCTGTCCTTTCCTTGAAGATAATGGATAAGTAGAACATTTAAATTTGTTTAAACAAATTATACTTGGCCTAGCACAGTGGACCATGCTTGTAATCTCAGCACTCTAGGAGGCGGAAGTGGGCAGATCACCTGAGGTCAGGAGTTCGAGACCAGCCTAAACAACATTGTGAAACCCCGTATCTACTAAAAATACAAAAAATTAGCCGGGCGTAGTGGCACATGCCTGTAATCCCAGCTACTCAGGAGGCTGAGTCAGGAGAATTGCTTGAACCCAGGAGGCAGAGGTTGCAGTAAGCTGAGATCATGTCACTGCACTCCAGCCTGGCGACAGAGCAAGACTCTGTCGCAAAAAAAACGAAGATGACATATCTACAACCATACAATCTTTGATAAACCTGACAAAAACAAGCAATGGGGATAGGATTCCCTGTTTAATAAAATGGTGTTGGGAAAACTGGCTAGCCATGTGCAGAAAGCAGAAACTGGACCCCTTCCTGACACCTTACACTAAAATTAACTCCAGATGGATTAAAGACTTAAACATAAGACCTGGCACCATAAAAACCCTAGAAGAAAATCTAGGCAAAACCATCCAGGACATAGGAGTAGGCAAGGACTTCATGAACAAAACACCAAAAGCATTGGCAACAAAAGCCAAAATAGACAAATGGGACCTAATGAAACTCCACAGCTTCTGCACGGCAAAAGAAACAGTCACTAGAGTGAATCGGCAACCAACAGAATGGGAAAAAATTTTTGCAGTTTACCCATCTGACAAAGGGCTGATATCCAGAATTTACAAAGAACTCAAACAGATTTACAGGAAAAAAACAAGCCCATTCAAAAATGGGCAAAGAATATGAACAGACACTTTACAAAAGAAGACATATATGAGGCCAACAATCATATGAAAAAATGCTCATCATCACTGGTCATTAGAGAGATGCAAATCAAAACCACATTGAGATACCATCTCACGCCAGTTAGAATGGTGATCATTAAAAAATCTGGAGACAACAGATGCTGGAGAGGATGTGGAGAAAAAGGAACACTTTTACACTGTTGGTGGGAGTGTAAATTAGTTCAACCATTGTGGAAGACAGTGTGGCGATTCCTCAAGGCCTTAGAAAT